ATATTATAGAGTAGTTTTGCATGTCATACAATACAAATCTGTTACAACTACAACATACATATTTGCTCTCTAAATCACTTGTTTGTGTTATGATTTGATTGGCTTTATTGAACATGCCGCTCTTACAGCCTTGTAAGATTGTAAGAGTGCTACGTTAGTAAAATTGGGAGGTTACTTTAAAGTACCTGTGAATCACCCACAGCTTGTTACACAGGTGATAAAACACATCTTAAACAGGGGGAAGTGCACTGCTTCAATCTGTTTAGATTAGCCAGTTAGCCAGACTCACTGTCACCCCGTGACACTTTATTTAAACAGAGGCATGGTGTTAGTAACTCAGCTTTTACAATCCTAAGTTCCTTTCAAGCCTTTTTCCTGCTTTTTTCACCATTTTATTCCAGGAAGTAATAAAACATGCTATAATACTGCACAGGAATGATGAATATTCCGAATGACTTGAAGCAGTCATTTTAGTGTTAATAAAGTTTTAGCAATATGCATACTATAGCTGTAGCGGAAAGGTGTAAATGGAGAAAAGCCTCTGAGACCCAGCTGTTGTTAATGGTGCAAAAGGCACTGTTCAGTCATCCTTCTATTATTGATAAACTGAAGAAATTAAGAGTTTTGTAAGTGGGGTGATCTAAAAATCATTTTTGCTGTCTTTTTGTCTATATTTAGGACTAGGGGAAAGACCTTAGTCAGCGATTAATTCTATAATTAATCACTTAATCGCAGCCTACGCTGCTGTGTCTGTGAATACAAAAGTTATTCATGGAGTTCTACGAGGTTCTGTATTGAGTCTGATTCTGTTTATATTACCAGTATGCATGCTTCCCTGAGACAGTATTATTAGAAAACAGTTTCAGTGATATGCAGACTCCAGCTTTATTTACAAATGAAGCCTGATAAAAAAATTCAATGAGTTAAACTCCAGTGATGTATTAAACACCTGGATGTCCTGTAGTGTTTTTCTTATACCGGTAAATTAAGACAAAACTGAGGTCATTATATTTGGCCCTAAGTTCTATCGTGTTATCTCAGACTGCAGGCTTACTTGTTTTTCCTAGAGTTTCTAAAAGTTGAATGAGAGGCAGAGCTCCCAGTTTGAATTTGGAACTCAGACACGTTCTCTAGTTTTAAGATTAGATTGAAAGAGTTTCTTTTTGATAAAGTCTGTGGTAAAGCTTGGTCAGGTGACCCTGAACCACCCTTTCAGGATCCCTTGCTGCTGTTCAGGCTCCTGCAGGATGTAATGTGATACACTGTGAGCACTTCTTCTCTACTCATCTCCTTTTATTTAACCCCACAGGTTTATATGCCACCGCAGCATGTCATTACATTTTTGCCTTCTCTCTTCCTGTTTCTTCCTCTTTTCTTTCCACTCTCCTCTCACCCACAACCAGTCATTCGAGATGGCTGCACCTCACTGTTTCTTTCTGTTAAAAGGGAGGTTTTTTTTTTACTCCCGACCATCATAAAGTGTTTGCTGTACAGTTGTTACCCCACAGTTTAAAGCACTTTGAGGCAGCTGTTACGCTTCGGTGCTATATAAATGAGCTTGAATTGATGTGAGCTGATTTTTCTGTTCATATTATTTCTCGTGTTGTCTGTTTTACAGCATGTGAGTCAGCAGTGACTTTGCTTTTCGATGCAGTTATGCACTTGGGATGTAAGCCTTACCTGGACAGTCAGCGAGCGTCGTGTGTGTGCCAGTATGAAGTAAAGACTGAGCTGTGACGCCACCACAGCCACGAGACTGTCAGCTGACCCTTTCAGAAACTCAACACTAACAGAAGGATGCTAGCAATAACCTTTCTGTCTTTCTTAGATGTTCTCAGGGATAGAGCTACTGGGTTTGCACTAATCTGTGTCTGTTGCCTCCTTTTTTAGATGGAGAGTGGACAATTAATATCTTTCCTATGTCATTGATTATTTATATATATTGTTCAGGGTTTCTGTGGTTTGCCTTTAAACCAGCAGTTTATTTTATATTTCTGTGAAGTCTGCATAACTTCCTCAGAAGTTTACATTAAAAAAAGACTGTGACCATGTTCAGTTTGAACACTTCTGACTGAACTGTTTTAATTGAATGGGAAAAAAACTGTTTTTACCCCTCAGCTGTAAAAGGATAATGAGTTTTGTTTTGTTGTTAAAATTAATGTATGGTTCAGCTTTCCCTGCCTAAAACATGTCATTTGTTGACAATGAGAAATATATTAAGTATATATAAATGTCGCTTCCAGTACCAAACCATTATTGGTTACTTTATTTAATTATAATAGATGGAGCTGTTTTGGGGTTTTTTTTATTTTTGTTTGTTTTATTTGTTTCACCCACCCCCAGAGATCAGTTCAGCGATTTCTTTTAAACTCATCACAACCTGAGTAACCTGTTAGAGCTTCGTCTAGATTTCCTGAAATCGCTTAATTTTCAAGATGTCATTAGCGAATAGTGAACTGTAAGAGAAAACAGCACATTTCCCTTTTCTGTGACAATAACAAGAACTTGTGATTAAGTTGATGTTTATCTCTACCGTATCTGAAGTGCTGACTGGTGCAGATGTGACTTGTAGAAACATCTTTTAAATTTGCAATAAAAATAGTTGTGCTTTAACTGTTACCTTGTTATCCATCGTTTTTAAGTAAATGAGTCTTTAAGTGTCTAAGGTGACATGTTTTAATCATATCTATATATATGTTGGATGAGGCCAGTGAATTTGCACAGGAGCAGATCCATCTACTATTTGCAAAAGCCTCATCAGAAATGGTGTCAGTGGAAGGAAGGGTGGCTGTCAAGAAGCCATACTTAATGAAAGGAAACTGAGAACAGACTGGGGTTTGCCAAAACACGAGAACTGGACTAAAAATCTGAGATAAAATTAATAATGCAGAAAAGTACCATTATGTTTTGATCTACCATGTAATACTGGAAAGTGTCTTACTGGCATTAGCTATATTTTTCAGCGTGACAAGGATCCCAAAAAGAGTCCCAGAAGTCCCAGTTCAATAAAAGCATACCTGCATAGAAAAACACACAGTGGAAGACTATCAATCATGGATTGGCCTCCCCAGAGCCTGGACCTCAATATTATTGAAGCAGTGTAGGATCATCTTGACATAGATTAGAACAAAAAAGTAACCAAGATTCAAAGAAGAGCTTTAAATGTCCTTCAAGAAGCCTGGAGAACTATTCCTGGAGAAGTTTTTATAGCAAAGATCAACCCAAATGAGCTTTAATTTACACCATACCTAAAAAAATGACAAAAAAACCTCAGACTTGGAGGTTGTCAAGTCGGTGATTGATGAGAGTGTGTTTCATTATTTTATTTCATATAAGAATGCAGAATGTCAAACCACACTCCAAAATGGACCAAAACCTGCATCAGACATCCTACACAGGTGACCCAGCTGAGGTTGATTAAGCCCTGACTTGTGCCCCAGCAGAAACCACCCACAGGTCAGCCCTTTTAATCAAAACCCACCTTCACTCATGGTTTTAATGGCCATCTTCTTTGCCTCTCCTGTAATAAAAAAACCTGATACAAAATACCCAGCCTTTTTGAGCTGTGCTGACAGAGGGCCCTTTCAGTCTCTTCTCAATGGGCTCTTGGTACTTTGCATGTTTTGGCTCAATTGCTTCTTCCATATCCTCTTCCCAGGGCACTGCAAGTTCTGGCATAGTCAGCTGTTTTGTCTCTTCAGAGTAGATGATGATCTTGTGTAAACCTTAGCCCTTTGTTCAGATTGATATGTAACTGTCAGTCGTAGGCCACAGAGAGAAGACTTAGATCCTCAGTTTTGATTTTGGGTAGGGTTTCTTTCCAGCTTTCATAAAGGCATCATCTTTATGGTGATGGTAAATGCTTTATGATGGTAAATGCCAGACTGTCTGCTCAAATATTTTTAGTCTGGTTTTCTGGTCTAACTAAAACATAACAAGAGAAAATCAATTAGATGTAGCAGGATTTTTATACATGGGAAATAACAGTTTAAATAAAGGTACAAAAAAAAACCTTGCTCGCAGTAGTGAAATTTTATTTAAGCAGAATAACCATGAGTTGATTACAAAAATTCAATTTAAAAATTTTCAGATTAATCAATTTTTCATTAATTAAAAACATTAAACACTGTAACCTAAAATCATATATATCTTGATTAAGAGGATTTTACTTTTTCAGTTATTCCAACAAAAAACGTTTTCCTTTGGGCACATTTGGAAAGACATCTTTATGATTTTATTAAAAACTACATTAGGGGAAGTGAAGAAGGGGAGACTTCCTAGAAACTCCTGAGAATATTGTCGTCATATTGGTTCCTGATAAGATTGTCAAGTTTTCACCTCATCACATTAAACAATCTTACATACTATTAGCCTGACACACACTGACAAAGCGTTCCTGTTTGACTTTCCACTTTTGATATCAATATTTAAAGTTAGGTAAGAAAACAGCGCTTCCTTGTGGTCACTCGGTAGCACTACAGCTTAAACGAACACCTGCTGCCAACTGCTCCCTTTAACCGAGAAGGGTCTGGCTGCAGCCAGGTGCTCCTGTGGGCTTTAACCACCAAGAACAACAGCGGAAAGAAACGCATGTTGTGTCGGGTGATCACGTGACAGGATGAGGCAAGGCGGTAATGACCCAACCTCTTTAGGCCAAACAGCAAAAGCAAAGATTGAAGAAATCTTTGCTTTTGAGAAACTGGGTACAACTGGGTACAACATGTATACTGCAGTGCAAGTTTGGCTGTCAGAGCAGCCCGTACGCACCAAACGTTATAATGTCAACTGAAGTTTGTCATTACAGGCTGTTCAAAGGTCACACACTGACTGTGGGTCTGAGCAGGCAGTTGAGTTGCAGCCTCTGTGTCGGTATCTGCTGCTGGCAGTAGAGACACCTCCCCTGCCCTGTAGGAGCACAGAACAGAGTGCTGCAATCCAATGAGATTCCGGTGGGCGGGGCTACAGCCTGGTTCTTCATTCATGATTTAATCTGGCAAATATGTTTTTCTCGCTGTGTCAGTCAGAAGAAAGGTCTAACAGGGCAGGAGACTATTGTACAGGTAACAGATTAAGATTTTTGTTTTAAATTGAGAATAGACGTGTGACCCATACAGGTGCTGTCACACCTTTGCCTTAAATTTGATCAGGTCAGTCACCTTTTGAATCAGGTGCCTCATGTTGTATCATTTACAAAGTGAAAACTTTTGTTTCTTTATGACCTTCCCAGGAAGTGTTCCTACACAGACGACCACAAACTAACAATATGACAGGTGAGCATTTCAATGCTACAAGCTTCTTTTGAAATAGGGAAGAGAGAATATTCCTACAAAGAAAAAGTGAAACAAACTGTAAAACAAAGCCAACAGGGTGACTTTAATCATCCACTTAACTTTCCTTTTGATTTGACTGTCATGCAGATAATAATTATAGTAAATATCATTCAAAGTGACTTGATGTCTTGAGGAAACTGACCTGCATAAATCTATAAAAGTGCTTCATATGCACGAATGGATATCCAACAGTTTTCCCCTAATTACCTGTGCTGGATTTTTAAAAAAAGAAAAAAGAAAATAAACAAATCATAGCTGCATGAAGGTTATTGAGGTTGGATTTTGCTGTGTCGCAGAAGATATACAGTTTATAGAGCGACAGCAGCATTCATGTCAAGACACCGTAGTATAATACATTTCTGCCTCAATGCCAGACACACCCATTCTGCAGAATGGGTGTGGAGAATAGAGCTGTTCCACATGACTTCTGGTCTTTCAACAGTCTTTCTCCACCTTCCTCCGCCTGTAACCCAGCTATTGACAACTATCAGGACTCTGAGTGTATGGAAAAATGGCTACTTGACCCCAGCACTAGCAGCACTTATAGCTCAATGGTTTAACAAAAAAGAATATTGCAGTATTTAAATAAGCTGTAAAGCAAGATTTGCATTATTACACTGCATTATTATTTTGTAATTCTTGCACTGGTTATTTACGAATGTGCTTTTTGATAATGTGCACAGAGAACCAAAGACAGAATGAGGTCACCATTGAAAGGTAAACACTATTAGCTGGAAAATCTTACTTTATTCTGGTTCCAGACACTGAGAATGTTGCCTGCATTTACTGCAAATTGTTTACTCTAAAATCAGCTCCTCGGATGGTGCAGAGGAGTACCAGATGGGCAACAAACGACGAGGTCTTGCACTCATTTTTAATCAGAAAGACTTCTTCTGGCGCCTGGAACTGCCTGAGAGGCGTGGAACCAATGTTGATTGTGACAACTTGGAGAAAAGGTACAACCTTCTAGCTATCTGCTGAAGAACGAGGAAACCTGTTTTTGGCACAGCTTCATGCTCAAGTGCATGCCAGCACGTGTTTAGAGTTGTTGATCATTTCTGTGGTAAAACTGAATATTTTTCTTCTTTACTAGTATCGCCCCAGGGCTGCAATCTTTTACCTCTGTGCCCCAGGGAGTGCCAAAGACAATATGTCATATGCTATATTTTTATTTTTAAGTTCACAGAGAACTTGGTGATTGTTTTTCTTCTTAATAGTGATGACCCTGATCACAATCCCCACTACAGAGTGTGATCGTGGCCCTATAGAGGTTGATTTCACACTGGTCCAAGTTATTCCCACTGCATCAACAACTGAAGAGATGGTTGTGGATTTTAGAAAGAATCCTATGACCGTCTCTCCTGGGGTGGTAATAGCTGATGCTTTGGAGTGTCTGCAGAAGCAGAAATATTGAGGCATTGAAATTTATAGGACTCTGAAAAAGGTCCAATCAATCCTGATCCGAGCAGATCCTTGTCTAAGGAATTTATATTGCTAATAAAGAACAATAAAAAAATTTTTGACCATTGATCTGCTAAACTAATCAACTCATTTTCACTTTCTGTTCAGACTGAAGGATCTAAACTTTGAAGTGAAATGTCACAATAACCTCAAGCTGGAGGCAGTCCTAGATGAAATCGTCAAAGGTACCCACATAATCATTTGTTTCTCTCAAATGACCAGCATGCATCGAGATGGACAAAGAAAATCATCACTGTAGTTTGAGTTCTTACATAATTCAATTTGTTGCTTTGCTGCAAAAATATCTTTGTCAAATCCAACTTTCGCTGCAAGTTTAACAAGTACTTGTTGTCGCACCAGCTGCGGAGGAAGATCACTCAGATGCTGATTGCTTTTTGCTCGCCTTCCTGAGTCATGGAGATGATAACCATGTTTATTGCCACGATGGAAAAATCAGTATCCAGGAGATCACGTCCAAGTTCAAAGGGGACAAGTGCCCGGACCTTGTTGGAAAGCCAAAGATCTTCATAATACAGGTACAAAACACAAAAACCCATATGAGTCCATCAGATTAACCTGGTGTAGCCATTTGCTAAAGATTCAACAGGTTTACAGTCATTCCAACTCATAACGTAGTCATGAGTCTCAGTCTGGATGTTTTGTTGTGTTGCCTTCTTTGGGATGAGAGTTGGGTAAACAAAACTGTCTCATATGTGCCAGAAATGAGTTCCACCACTGCTGTGTCATCTGCAAACTTGACATTGTGGCTGAGCACTTATAAGAGAGTAGAGTGTGCAGCAGGGGGCTTATAACACATCCCTGAGGAGAGCCAGTGTTGAAGATGATGGAGAAGGAGGTGTAGGAGGAAGTGAAGTCTGTCAGTCTGTCTTCTGTTTGTCAGAAAGTCCAACAACCAGTTAATTTGATTTAATTCAACTGGAAACCAATGTTCATCCCCCATCTCCAGGCATGTCGCGGAAAAGAGTTTGATGTGTCAGTTACAGTGACCGAAGCTTCTACGATGGAGTCTGAAGAAAAGGTGTTCATGGATGCCAGCACCATACAGACCCTCCCTGCTGGGGCTGATTTCATCATGTGCTATTCTGTGGCTCAGGGTGAGTCTTCTAGCATTTGACTAAACCTTTTTATTTTTATTTTGACTGAGAGGAAATATCAAAGACACAAAGCAGCGACACAAAGCGACATCCATGTTCATTTTTGCCGTTTTGCTGTTGTCATTATTTGTTAGGCTACTACTCCTTCCGGGAGAGGGAAAACGGTTCGTGGTATATCCAGGATCTCTGTCAGCTGCTTCAAAAGTATGGTGATAGCCTGGAATTCACAGAGTTACTCACGCGGGTCAACAGAAAAGTGTCACTGAGGAATATTCCAACACCATGTCAACCAAGATTTATCGGGAAGAAGCAAATGCCTTGTTTTGCTTCAATGCTCACCAAGAAACTTTACTTCCAACCAAAAAAGTAACAATGACACACCTCAGTCT